CCTTACCCCCGACGATTTTCAGATCGGCGACGACGGAGGTGAAGAGCGCAGATAATGCAAAGGCGACTTTCATGGTGAATAGAAGATTGATGAATGACACTCGGGAGCATGTGGTTGAGTTCGATCCAAGTTTTCACATGAATGCCATGGAATCAGATGAAACAGATGTGGGGATGGGTAGAGAAGCCTGTCGTCTACGTTCGTGAGTCTGGATATTTCAAAAACATAGTGAGCTGTCTTTAGTTGGACGTATGATGTTGCAAATTGTTTGCTTTACATTAGACTACACTGGTATGTGTCGCTCACGTCTTCAATACACGTTGCCCGGTCCAACATTGCATGCTGGTGAATCAGTGAACAACGTGAATTCACTGCGAGTCCGCGTACGACCTTAAGTCTAATTAGGACTTTTTTCCCTTCGCAGTTATTCACATATGGAATGAACCAAATGTGAAGGTCTTGAAAATATATCCCGGCTTATTTATATGTGAACTTCATGTACGGAATGAACGACACAGGAGGATATTTTGCGCTACAAGGTGAAGTCAGTTTACAACGAACAGCGGCCTCCTCATGACGAATTCGCATTTCCTATATTTAGCAAACCTGATTAGGAGAAACTGCTGAAATGTCGGAATATGTCGACCTACAGTATTTGGTGAACTATCGCTGCGTCTAAAATTTCAATTTGAGACTGCCATGATATATCAGATTTCATTCCGATAGATTCCTCGGTATGTGTCCGAACCGACAGGTTGGCGCTACCCTAAAGTGACTTTGATTGGTCAAAATGGTGTAGAGGGGATTGTATTTGGACGGTTGACTGTGAAGCGCAGTGGAGGGCACGCTGCCTCTCCATGACTGCTGTAGTTCCCTTGCATTGGATCTATCCTTGTCGAGAACAAACTTAGCTCTGATGGCAGTAACGTAAAAAACCAATTTAAGAAAACTTTTTTGGAGGCGTCGGAGTAGAATGGACATAACTTTTGAGTCCGTTACGATATTTGAGTTTTCAATAGTGATTCCAATAGACAAGACGCGCCTCTTTCAGTTCATAATCGAATCATCAGTTTAGGCGATGAAATTCACAGGTAAATTTGTTACTTTCTAAGCATTTGTACTCACATTTTGATAACCAATTTAGGATAACATTTTTTATCTTAAAGTATGTATGTGTTTGAGCATTGAAATTTTGTGTTTAGGGTAAGTGTTTACAACAGGTGGCATATAATTTATACAAGGGTACTGTTTTATAGAGCTAAATTTCTGTTGTGGAGGGATGTCCACCGAGTTTAACTCTCGGCAAAACCTCCGATCCAACCCAATGTGGCCCGTGTCGACTAGGGAACTTCAACCCAATCTTGAATGACTATTACCAATGGCTTCTACGCCGTTTTTGCATTTCATTCACGTGACGGAATGGCCAGCATTATATGATAGAGGTTTTGACTCGAACAAATAACGAGGTGTGATTGGGCAATACAAAGTTATCCTAAATTGGTTAACATGAAGTTATCTTAAATTGGTTTTTTACGTTAGTACCAGTTAATGTGCTATTAATAGTTATTGATGCTAGTGTGACACATTGCAGTACTGAGGCGAATGTCAGGGAAGGCAGGTGTCGTTTTTTTTAGACTTGAACTATGCATGCGCTGACTGTGAGTTACCGGTAAGCGATACTAGTATTCGAAGTATATGTGTGAAATGTGAGTTTGAGTGAATACATACAGTACTACTATTAATACACTAACGATACGTAGTAATTCTGGGGCTTAACGTAATACTACTAAAATAGTATTGTGCGTTTCACTCGTCACGATTACAGTATGTACCGACTATTTACAGTACTGGAAACAATAGAGTTTTCGGACACCCAGTTTTGTAATGAATTTTGAGCTACGAATTTCCAACTCAAAAGTGAAAAATGTCGTTTTCGGTTGTGCGAAGTTGTGAAAAGGAGGTGGAAGCGACAACTATCAAAGGAGCAACTGTGGGCACGGCAGTACGGATACCGAACGGTTCGAGTTAACCCCATTATCCACAACCCATCGCCGCGCCAAACTACTGGCTGAAATTATAGCATCAACAGCCAATTATTGATCCTACGCTCTCAACATATCTCTGAGGTTGAATATTGTGTGCCGACGTGAGCACACATAACCATCACATGGGAGCGCAGTCACCAGCTCATATGTGTGGGCGACTAGCGTTGCTGAAGAAGTAGTAACGACTGACCTCGGCTTGGACCTTGGCCACGGAAGCCTGTGAAAGCCCTTGGTGCAAGACTATGTTGGCCAATCACTTTGCATTTTCTGGGCACGATTTATGTCCAATCAATCATGGCCGTAAAATGGCAGCAAATTGGGAAGAAGCATTTTGTCACCCGATTATTCGCGATTTTCGAATTCTACTTGGAACAGGCTCTTACAGTTAGAACTAAACGTTACAGTCGATTATAAGGTTTCTCGTTGGAGCACCTCCTCATGGATCCCGCCCGACCCGACCTTCCCCTCATCCTTCCCGATAGCGATGAACCTCCATCACCTCGAACTCCAGTATGCACATACATATTGACCTTGTAACCAACGAATGTCAGCCACGTCGACGAGACATACAAAAACATCGGACATTTTTGTACTCCATACTCGCAATCGAGAACCTGTGGTGAGCAATGAAACCCCGTCTGTATACGTTGCTTTGTGAGCCACTAGCTGCATTCATTGGGCCACCTCCTGGTGGAGCTGGAATTCCGACTGTAATGTCTGGAGCATATTGCTGACCAAATCATTAAAGGTATGTTTCTGCATGAGGAGAGTTGATTGTCGTAGGAGTTGATGCGAACCGTTTGTATCAATACGCTCTCCACCTCGACCAAAGAGCCGAAAACATGGACGACGAATTGGTTGGAGCCTATAGTTGTCACTCCAGCATATTTACAGTTATTGCGTTAACATTTATGCGAAATATATTGATCTCATCACGAAGTATATTGGTTGTTTGCGAATCTAACTAACACTGTAAGCAAATAACGAAATATACTCACAATCGACGAAACATAATGAGAGAATAACTAACAGTAAATGCCGAGGTCGCGAAATATAATAAGCTCCACGAATTTAAATGAGATTCGACGAAATATACCCGATATTTTTCGAAATTAACCGCAAAATGTGTAGTAGTACTTCGAAGTACATGTGCTTACTTACTGTTACTACCTCTGTCCAAAATAGTTACCCCAAACTGAAACACTGAGCACCCGCCACCGGTGCACGCAGCAACGATGCGAGGGTCCGATGGGGGAACATGAGGCTTGGCGTTGTCCTGCTGGATGATCACTCCCTTGGTCTCACCTTGGGGCCATTTCGCTTTTATAGCGGGGATTACATTGTCCAGGAGCATGGTCATGTACACTTCACGAGTCACGCTGACTGGCTTCATCACCATGGTTCCACCCGGTCTATTGCAGCTTCCACGCAACGCCGGAACTCGCACCGTAAAATGTCATGTGCCGATCTTGCCGTCGAATCATTCATCATTGTAGTGGTCCCAACGTGGTCAGGCAACGGCGGACAGAAACATGACCTTCGTGATGAACGTTTTGGACTTGACCGTGCGATGAGGAGGGGCTTCGTCGGGTGCAAGATAATACGACTTGTGAACTCGCGTGGCGAAAAACCACTTTTCGTCCACATGGACACAGTCCATCATGCTGTCGAAGGTGTAGTCGGTCGGTCCCACCGGGTGAACATGGTCGATTGATCACTTGAGTTGAACGGCCTTGTTGGAATCCGTCAGTGCCGGCTTGATCGTACTAGAGTATTTCACGAAAATTCCTCGCCGATAGTAGTCATGCAGGGCCGACTGGGGCTTGGACATGGCGGTAGCGATGGACCGAAATGTTGTCCGTCGAGCCTTGGGTACGAGTTTGAGATGGGCAGCAACAGAGTCGAGCTTGAGGTTCCTGCTTGAGGTTCCTGCCAGAACGAACTTTTTTCCTTCAGCAGACAGGCTGGCACGGGCGAAGCTTGTCGGACAGGTCGACTGTAGCTCCGTGCCAGATTCGGCGAACCGTGCTTCATTCAACACCAAAGGAGACGGCGACGTCTGCTAAGGCACCTCGTGGCAATGTCTTGTGATCAACCACCCGCGCGAGAAGCTGCTGTAGGATTGCAGTTCGATCGTTGTCCGTGAGGTCCTCCTTGGCGCGCATTTAGGTCGTAACCGGACATCCGGATACCTCCGTTTTGAGACAAATCGTCCAAGTTGTATAGGTTTAAGTATTGGAGCTCTGTGTGGCTGAATCTGTTGTGATTGGGTGTAGTTTGGTACGAAGCGATGCTATTGGTGTGCTCTAGAGGCTACTAAACATGCATCTGTTTTCAGAATGGAATAATTCGACCAACTTAACGTTCATTTCTCAAATATTCCGTTTGGGGTAACTATTTTCGGACAGAGGTAGTACATGACATCTATTGCATAGAATTTCAAGAGTATCACTCGTCTGAACTTATAGTACCGTTTCAACATTGATTTTACCATGGCACCTAACGTTTTCGACTTGACGGTGAAGGGTCTTGTTAAGCTTGCAGTAATCAAAAGCGCCATACAGGGGTTATTGGACCATTACAAAAAACATAGAAGCGAACGGGTACACTGTAGTTGGATATGTCGCTGCCAAAATCTATGAGATCGGTAGTATTACTGTACCTTCAAACACAATATATATTGTCTCCGCAACACTAACACCACAACTCTCTAGTTACCACACCACAACGTTCCATGTTCAGGAATGTAGTGTTCGCAGTCCTCCTTGGAGAAGTCATCCAAGCAGTAGTCGGCGCCAGCATAGTAGCAAACGTCGCACGTGGTACAACCAGGCTTGGGGGGGGCAGTCGTGGGCCTCATCGTGGTCGCGTTGGGCATGGTGGTAGGTTTGGTCGGGCCAGGGGCTGTGGTGGTACCAGGGGCCGATGTGGGGGACTTCTTGAGGTACGGCTCAATGAAGTCGCGAGCCATCGAGATGCGGCTGTACACGCCTGGCTTGTTTTTTACGGCACACTCAACGCCCCAGCTGACCACCCCCACCAATTTTGCAGAACCGTTGGTTTCCATCGTCAAGGGTCCGCCAGAATCGCCTTGGCACGAATCTTCGCCCCCCTTGCCACCGGAGCACAACATGCTGGCGTCGATATTGTTTTCACCAGACATCCACTTATTGCACTGTTCTTGGTTGACCGTATCCACCCCGACTTCCAACAAGACCTTGGACGGAGACCCGTTCGAAGACGTGGTGCCCCAGCCACGCACAACCGTGGGGGTGTCGGCTGCCACAGTGTCGAAGGACACTTCCACGGCCGGGAACTTGGAGTCGCGCTCTAGAATCAACACTGCAAAGTCGTACGAATAGATCTTCGCTTTGTACTTGGGGTGTTTGATCTCTTTCTTGACCTTGATCTGCTCACCGTCCTTTGTGCCACTGTTATAGTGTGATCCAATCGCCACATAGTCGTCACCTTGTCCGATGCAGTGGGCGGCGGTCAAGACGACGTTGGGGGCAATCAAACTGCCTCCGCACGCGGTCATTCCAGAGGCGGAGGAGCGAAGTCCTGTCACGTACAAGTGCTGGCCAACCGCCGCTTCCTTACCCCCGACGATTTTCAGATCGGCGACGACGGAGGTGAAGAGCGCAGACAATCCAAAGGCGACTTTCATGGTGAATAGAAGATTAATGAATGACACTCGGGAGCATGTGGTTGCGTTCGATCCAAGTTTTCACATGAATGCCATGGAATCAGATGAAACAGATGGGAATGGGTACCGTACCTTTCGATTCAATGTTGGAGTGGTACAGCCAGGAGTACCACTGGAAAATTTGGTATTCATTGCCTCTAGACATAAATATCCTTTCAGAAGTAATGCCTCTCTACGACGAGCAAACTTGAAGCGACTTCCTGCAGATTTCAGCATGCAAACTTGAGCTTGTAAACTGACATTGACACCTCCATTCACTTTCCATTATGCCGTGACCGTCCCATCGCAAGCCCTAGAAATGTAGTTGTATGATTTCAATTTTAGTTTGTCACGAAGAACTTCCATAAAATTATATTCCTCAAAATTACATAGAAATATTAATTTTAAATAGACTAGAAACAGGGTGGTCACAGCCGAGTACCACTCCAACATTGAATCGAAAGGTACGGTAGAGAAGTTTGCCGTCTACGTTCGTGAGTCTGGATATTTAACAACACAGTGAGCTGTCTTTAGTTGGACGTATGATGTTGGCAAATTGTTTGCTTTACATTAGACTACACTGGTATGTGTCGCTCACGTCTTCAATACACTTTGCCCGGTCCAACATTTATATGTATGTATACAGAGCATGCTGGTGAATCAGTGAACAACGTGAGTTGAGTCCGCGTACGACCTTAAGCCTATGTAGGACTTCTTTTTTCTTCTCAGGTATTCACATATGGAATGAACAAATGTGATGTTCTTGAAAATATATCCGGACTTGTCTCTATGTGAACTTCATGTACGGAATGCAACGACGCAGGAACATATTTTGCTCTACAAGGTGAAGTCAGTTTACAACAAGATTCGCATTCCTAAATTACCGGTAGCAAACCTGATTAACGTTAGGGGAAGTGTCGGAATATGTCGTACTATTTTGTGAACTATCGCTGCATTTGAAATTTGTATTTGAGGCCGCCATTATATACTACAGTAGTATCAGATTTCATTTCGATAGCATGAATATTCCGACAAGATACTCATTACGTGAAAGCGTAAGGGTGCACATATACTGCGAAGTACACCTAGAATGAAGACCTGCTGCGTCCGTAGGACAAGTCTTTCGTTGGTATCGTGAGGGTAACATGAACTAGGTGCAATGCCACTTGCCCACGTCTAAACAGAACTACAACGAGCAGCGGCCTCCTCATGACGGATTCGCATTCCTATGTTTAGCAAACCACTGATTAGGAGTAACTGACGAAATGTCGGAATATGTCGAACTATTTTGGTGAACTATGGCTGCATTTGAATTTGTATGTGAGGCCAGGATATTTCAGATTCCATTCCGACAAAATTCGTCGGAATGTGCCGGAACCGACAGAATTGCGCCACCCCTAAGAGACTTTGATTGGTCAAAATGGCATGAGACGATTCATAGGCCAAAATTAGAGTATACAAATACTAAGTGAGTTCGGAATATTGATCAGACACAGCGGGACTCGTAATTCTATTAACGTTACTACTACTATTAATAGTACGCAGATTAGTTTATAATGTAGTACTGTACTTGAAGTATTCACTAGAGTTTATATGTAATTAAATCATTTCCGTCATGAAAAGTGTTTCGGCCCATTCTCTGATATCGTGCAATCTTCTGTTTTTTTTACGTTAACTGTAAAATACTTCTAGGACGTGCTAACTTACCAGCTACAGCTAGTTGCGGGTGCTGATGATTCAGATATTCGCTGGGTAAGTACAAAACGGTTCTCTATTGGTAATCTAAGTACATATACAACTTTCGAATGATTACGTCCACAGCTGTAGCCGAACGAGTTCAGCTACATCGCCAACGGTAGATAACGATATCCGCTAGGATGTGAGTTAACGTTCCTGGTACAGAACATGTACTATTAATAGTATTATTATTCCTAAATATACCTGGTAACATACAAGTTGGTCGCGGCGCCCCGAGACACGACACACACATCCCACCCACGTCCATGGCCCTCCCTCCTCCAGACCCAGGACGGCCACCGCCCCCGCCACCAACTTCGTCCATGCCTGAGCCAACCCCCATGGTTACTGTCGTCATTACCCACAACAGGATTGCTACGGCCATCCTCGTGCCAGCTACCGGTACAATCAGCACCCCGCTCCCATTCTCCTCCTCCGACCCAGACTCGGACTCCAACACGGCCCTTAACACAGTCGCCACGCCCCTAACCGCACGCCATCTACGTTCCAAGTTAGCCGCGAACAAGCTTCTCGCCCGACACTACCGCACCCGGGCCAAACGTGTCATTACGTGGCCCCACGAACAACATCCTCGCTCACCACTACCAACCGACGCTGACTCCAGCCCTTTATCTCTCCGAGGATGACAAAACCATCTGCCCCCGACTCACTCGAAGTCAACCCAAACCAACTGCTCTGTCACTCTCCCTAACTCTCCAGCTCACCACAGTTCCCACGCCCTCCACTGCCAGGCCGACCATACCTACCTCCTCCAAGATAACCAAAAGCTCCACGCAGAGATCGCTCCCCGCTGCATGGCGACTACCACAGACCACGGCTGCATTACACCAGGAACCACCGTCCAGACGCACAAACCCATCCACCTCCTACCGCCGCATACATCCATTACTCCCGCATCCAATAATACTGGACTCTTCACCCACGCACCAACTGATCATCTCACTCCCCAGGCACATCTCCCTCCGCAAACCAAGGCCACCAATCTACCAACACGATATCCCACACCATCCCCTGTCACAGTCTCTCCACCTCCCATGGCCTCCGATAGGCTGACACTAACCAACCGCGCCATTGCACCCATAAGGGCAGCCACTCCAACATCAATCCGCAACACACTTGGAACACGATCTTCATGACCCACCCATCCTCCCCTTGCCTCACTTTGGCTACATGTCACCCAGGTGCACCCACCGACACAGATATACCACTCCTATCCAACCCATCATCGCACCCATCACCGGCACCGCTGGAAGTTCCGCAAACCCAGTACACGCGATCTAACCACCAAGCGCTCACAGCACACCCTGGAACATCTCCCATGCACCAAACACACTCCGACCCTCCCCCACTAGCCAACCTCCATCCATGGACACCCAGCCCCTGTCACACTCCCAACCCGCCGAACAAACGGCACAAATGGGAAATGACACGGACCAGCAAACAGCACAAACGGGACAGGACCCGGACCAGCAAATGGCATCAATGGGACAGACCATGGACCAGTCCATGTCCTCCACCAGCTCTATTACCCATCCACCCTGGGCACCATCTGCCAAACACCCACACTCCGATGTGGAACCCGACCTGAACCTTGCCGCCCATCTTTCCAACTACAGTACAGTACCACCGCCCAAACGACACCATGCTATGCTATACCCGCCAACCCCGTCCTACCACCCGGATCCATACGAGCCAGCTCAGCCCACGCAGGGCGGCGCCGGTCCACCCACCCAGGAGGAAGACCTCGACGAATACGATGCAAACACGGCCCTCCAATTTCCAGGCCTCCGCAACCTCTGCGATGATGGCCAGCCTATCTTGTACCGCATCATGACCATGTACTGGAAACGCGAGGCACACCTCTTCCAAGGCTTTACTCCTGAGGATTTTGCCGACATCGAGCGCCATTTCGCCGAGACAATCGTCCGGATCCAGTTCTCCATCAATCCTTCGCTCCAGCGCCCAGACAACCTGCTCAGCATCGTCAACTAACGCAAAGAAATCGAGACCATCTGCGAGGAACGCTTGGTTTCACCTTCCACGGTGGCCTCAGCGAACATGGCCAGCAGGTCCCTCCATCTATGAAGCTCTATCCACTCCGTGATCTCAGCTAGGACAACCCCTCCTCCACCTTTTTTCACCCCCTGTCCCCCAATGCCGCCACACTTGTGGACACCATGGCTGCCTGCCTCGGCTGCCTTTCTATGGGGTGCCTCAGGCCCACATGGGAACACCCAAATCTATGCCCGCAATAAATATAGCTGTCCTGCTGCACGTAATCATGGGACGCCCACGTACCACTGCGGTAGCGGTACAATGCCCCAACTGTGGCCGCCTTGAGAAAAAATGTGACCTCTTCACGTATCTTAACCCCCGCGACCGTGCACGCAGCAAATCGCGTCACAAATCCACCGGCCGTGGCGCCACACGCAGTCCGGTCGCACAGCAAGAGTGGTCACTCCCGCGCCGGCCGCTCAGCCTCCCAACACTCCGCCACGGGGAGCCAACTCCACCAAGCCTGGCAATACCCCCTTCAACGATAACCGGTGCAAGCCCCAGCCCCATCGTCTGAAGCAAACTCCACACAGCCGAGTCTACCAGAACCAACCTCGAATAAAGCCCCCCAGCTCATTGACTTGTACGACCGACGGGGTCGACATTCACCCCGACTGTACAACGAGCAAACGAACGACACTTCGATCGTAGCATTGAGGGCATACCTAGACGAAGGTGCTGTGGCCTTGGACCCTCACCTACTCAAACTGGTCGTTCGAAACAGTCATCAGTTCGTCGTCAGACAAGGCATCGTCTGCCGATACATCACCTTCAAGGCACCCCTTCGAAATCCCGAGCTCGTCCTTGTTCCGGTCATACCTTACACGCTCGTATAGAAGTGCTTTATGCTTCCCATGCGTCGCCCTTGGCTGGACACCTCGGCTACATGAAGACTCGGGAACACCTCAGACGAACGGCCTACTGGTTAGACTGGCAACATGATTACGAAGACTACGCCTCGCAATGTCTGGACTGCAATCGAGCCAAAGGCGGTCGTCCATGGAAACAAGGTCCGATGCAACGGATGCCAGTCTACTCCTTGCGCGGACCATTCGCCTTCGTCGTGGTGGACGCGCTTGGTCCTTTACCCACGTCCGACAGTGGCATCAAATACAGCTTGGTCTTCGCCGACTATTTCACTCGATGGGTCGAAGACATCCCAGTACCAGACCTGAAGACGTCTACCTTCACTGTCAGCCGAGCCTTTATCGATGAAGTCCTCTGTCGCATCGGTGTGCCTGACCGTCTGGTCTCCGACCGTGGATCAATCTTCGTCTCCGAACTGGCCACGACGATGTATACCACATTAGGCATCAACAAGCTTGAGTCTGCGGCCTACCACCCCAAGCATAAGACTAGCCAAACGGTTCAGCCATACGATCATTCAGATACTCAAGATCTATAATGTGAATGACCATCATACGGACATACCTATCTGCTCTTTGCGTGTAGCACGTCCCACCACGAGACTCTTGGAGACTCCCCCTACTTTTGCCTCTTTGGACGAGACCCCACTCTGCCGTTGGACTTGGCGTTTATGAAGGCCGAGCCCTCCTGGAAGTCCGACGACTTGTCCCATTATAAGGGTCGTCTGGCCGCGCCTTGGAAAGATGCACGAAACCTCATGGAACAACAACTGATCAACGGTCAAGTGCAAGGACCAAGGCCAACCAAAAACCCATCGAATTTGGCGAACAGACAGTCGTCTGGGTCTACAAATACTTCGCCAAGTCGACTCGACCAGACGACCATCGGACGACCAAGCTAGCGACGCATTGGCATGGACCCTTCCGAGTCGAACGCAAAATGGGACCTAACACGTATAATATCGACATACCATCACACCCTGACAAGATGGCAACTTTCAACGTTGACCGACTCAAGTCGTTTCGGGGCTACTACTCTCTACCGTTCAATGACGAGATCCCCGAGGGTGACGAAGCACCCGACGATCTGTCTCTCGACTGTCTACCTCGTCCAGCTTTGTCGAACAAGTGCCGTTTCCTGATGACGACGTAGCTTACTCGTCCAACGTGTCGTCGATTTTTCATGTAGTCGACCAACGTCGTCTGCCCAACTTCTCTGAAAAGGAGAACTTGGTGGAACATGCTGACGGCCTCAAATACTGGATGGCCGACTCCAAGCTGACCGCGTACAAGTTCGAAGACTCGGATCTGGCAGGGCGATTTTATCAAAATTAAATTTATTACAAAACCGGCATGTATCGCGACGACTACGTTAATGTTTCTTGGTCGAATGGACGCCGGCGGACGGACGTCCCAACACGTCCGTATTGTCCACGGGCTGCCCGGAACTCAACCGTTCAACCTTGTTTTGACCCAAATCCGCCACGTACTCGCCTTGCAAGTTGGATTCTGTTTCGCCACCCAGGCCAGTTGTTCGTAGACGTTGGAAGGGTATTGCACGAAGGGGAAGGGACTGTTGCGCGTCGCCGCCCTGTCTGCGTTAGCCTCGTCGTACATCGTGCCCACCCAACTTGGCGTTTACTTGCTTCTCATCTGCCCCGAGAAGTAATCCCACGCCCATGTCTCGTGCATCTCGGCGGGCAATGCCCGGTCGAACTTGTACCCTTGGAAGCGAGGCAGACGCATGCCGCCCGGAAACTTCGCGATGTCTGGCCAACAACTCGCACCTTACGTTTCAATATATCTCACCCCCTCGTCCACGCCTTGGCTGTCTTGCAAGGACAACAGACTGAACGGCTCTTGTGTGATCTCCGCCCAGTACGGGTGGACGCTATGAAACAAGAAATGAAACACCGAAGTCCCCGTGAACGCACCCTGGAACTCGACGTACAATGTTAAGTGTAGCGCAGTGGTATTACTGGAACAATCTTGCCGAAGACGTGAAGCTATACGTCGCGAGTTGCGAAACACGCAGTCGATACAAGACGAGCAGTCTGCGTGCAAATGGCAAGATGATTCCCATTTCCGCACCGTAAGAGTGTTGGCAAACTGTTTCAGCGGATTGGATCACCGGTTTTCCCGTGTCAAAAGGCTATGATGCTATGTTGGTCGTGGTAGACAAGCTATCCAAGCGGCCAAACTACATCCCTACGAGATCAGATGTTGATGCACCCCAAACGGCGAAGAAATTCTTCGAACATGTTGTTCGCCACCATGGACTACCAGCAATGATCATCAGTGATCGTGACCCCAAGTTTACAAGCACGTTTTGGAAGTCCCTCATGGAGATTATGGGTATCCGCCAAGCCATGACCACCGCCGGCAGAGCTCAAGCCGATGGAGCGACTGAGTGCCAGAATCGAACTCTTGAAGATGCGCTCAGATGTCAAGTGTCGTATCTAGGACAAGACTGGGTCGACCATTTGCCAACGACTGGGCGCCAGAATCGAACTCTTGAAGATGCGCTCAGATGCCAAGTTTCGTATCTAGGACAAGACTGGGTCGACCAAGTGCCAACGATCGAATATGCCCACCGAGGCTTAGTCCAAGCATCAACCGGCTTGACGCCGTTCGAAGTCGACACAGGCCGCAACTTGCGCAACCCGCGTTAGCAGTTCCTTGCCCAAGAATAACTTTGCCAAGCATTTTCCGGAACATCGAAAGGAAGTCAATCGGAATTTGACGAAGGCCCAGCAGCGTCAGAAGGCGTATTATGACAAGCGCCGCTCGAACGTGACTTTCAAGGAAGATGATCAAGTATTGTTAGCGACTCGCAACATGCCACTAAAGCATGCCCCGATGCTCGACTAATCCGAGCGTCCCAAGCTAGTTCCAGGATTCATCGGTCCCTTTGAGATTTGTCCAAGCCATTAATGACAACGCCATGCGCCCCAAGTTACCTCGCTCGATGTCGCGTATGCATGACGTGTTCAACGTCGATCGACTTAAGCACTACCAGCCCAAAAGCCAAGTTTGCCTCCCGGCCTATCCCGAAAACTACTTCTGTTGTTCTACACGAATCCACCTGTTGTTCTACACGAATCCACCCGGCGAAGAAATGTACATTATCGAAAAACTGCTCAAAAAGTGCCAGTTCAATCGCAAGTTGGAATATTTGATCAAGTGGCATGGACAACGCGAAAGCGAAGCCACGTGGGGACTGATGAAGGATTTTAATCATGTTGTGGACTTCAAGCAACTCGTCCAAGACTTGAAGTCAAGGCGTTTCAAGGTGTAGCATGACGTCAGGGGGGGGATGTAGCGATGTGACAGGTGTGGGTAACGTCTTGCCACCACCTTGCCTGGACTCAGCTCCTAAGTACCTGCCTCATGACGCACCCTAGTTAATGTTTGCCTGGGGATGTGTCTCAAGGACATGTATGGCTTAGAAGCGCTAGCCTAGTGAAGTTCCCCAATGTCTCAACCGCACCCGCATCCATTGTATACAAAAGTGCATATTAGCGTAGAAGTAGTGAAGTAGACGAATAAGATTCATAGTGATGAGGATTAAGGAGATCTTTGTAGATCTTCAGTTAATTCATTGTGCATTTTGCCCTCAACTACACACGCTTCCTCCCGCAGTGCTACATTGGTTATTTATATGTGGCATAATTTTGGTCGGGGGTAGGAACATGTGCTTTATGTTAGATGATTGTGGATGAGGAGTGAATACATACGATCTCCACAGCACTTTACGAATTACACGAGTGTACTAGTATTGTGCTTTTCACATATTTTGTCCGTTGTTTTAGCTCCTAAAACCATCCAAAGTTTAACCTAAACAGAAGTTGCACTCGACGTAAAAGTAAGCTTCCCCACCGTTCTGTCATTGGCTGATCTAAAACTTGCGTTGTTTTACTAAAACTACTTCGTTTTATTAACTCCCGTGGCCAAGCAGTCATGCAGAGTAATGACCTACTGGGGTAAGCTCGCAGTGCACCAGCTCACACGAGCTTTGCAGCCAGCTTGTTAGCAACTCGTTGGCACGAAAAGTCGAGCAAGAAGCACTCAACATCAACCTTTATCGAGCATAGTCAAGAATTACACTCGCGTGTATTAGTTAATCCACTCTGTAAACCCCCGCGTTTGCC